TGGTTGATAAAATGAATCAGGTTAGTTACAGTTGGCAGTGGTGAAAAAAGTACCCAAATGTCAAACTTGAGTGAAAGTAAAGATATCGCAAATAATTCAAGTGAAAGTCACCCATTAAAATACTACTTCTTGAGTAAAAGTCTGTAAATATTTGGTTTTAAATATACTTAAGTATCAAAAGTCAATGTAATTGCTAAAATATGCTTAAGTATCAAAAATAAAACTACAAGTATAAATAATTTACAATTCCTTATATTAAGCAAACCATAGCCAGAGGCACACCAACACTCAGACAAACAAAGCATTTTGTTTAGTGAGTCCGCCAGATCAGACCAGGAATGTTCTCTTGATAAGTGCATGAATTGGACAATAATGTCCTGTCCTGTCCTTCAAAGCATTCAAAATGTAACGAGTACTTTTGGGTGTCAGAGTAAATGTATGGAGTAAAAAGTACATTATTTTCTTTAGGAATGTAGTGAAATAAAAGTTGTCAAAAATATAAATAGTAAAGTAAAGTACAGATACCACAAAAAACTACTTACGTAGTACTTTCAAATATTTTTACTTAAATACTTTACACCACTGCAACTGGGGTGGAGGGTCGCTCTCCAGGAACAGGGTTGGAGAGCCCTGACCTAGAATATCTTCCTAGTACCACTGACATTGTTTGAATGAATATTATTTTTATAGGATACCATAGGATGTTTTGAATTATTAATTTTAATTACAAATTTTATTTGTCGCATACACGTGTTTAGCAGATGCTATTTTGGCTGTAGCGAAATGCTTGTGCTTCTAGCTCCGACAGTGCAGTAATATCTAAAGTAACCCATTTAAAAATATATATATATATCTATGTTCAATGTACCTGCATTATTGTATACATTCATTGTTACATTTCAGATTATCATCCAGAAATACATGTTCTAAAAGTTTAAAATGCAACATTGTGTCAACCAACTTCAAGTGAAGTCAATTCAGCAACAACAACACATGCAATATCTCAATCTGGCCACTAGACGGCACCACTAAACCCTATAATTAATGTGGCAGAGCCGCTCTTGCTAAACCAACAGTAATTAGTCAATAAGATGCATGTGGGTCCCATCACCACATTTGTTACAACATTTGACTGCATGGCAAACAACGTTAACTTCAAGACCTTGTGATGACCACGCTGATTCAGATGTAATCATAATTGAGTCAATATGGAACCTCATGCATGCCAGATTCACACATGCTATGGAGAATACCCTTCAGAGGGTTAAACTGTGTGGCCATGGACCAAATGACCTCCAGCGCTGCAGCTGCACGCCTGATGCAGGGTTTTACCCAATAGTTTGTAGGGTGAGAGGGACACAGAGTAGCTCTGTTAAGACAGGGTTTTGAAGAGAGAACAACATGGATGAACTATCTGGGAGTTAGTCAAATGATTATATTATATCAACCATCTACATTCCTGCTTGTTACATAGACCTGCAATTACATTGTTTACTGAAGCCACTAATGCACTTAGGGTTCATAAAATGGTTCAAAGAGACTCCGGTTGTCACTAGTTACCACTAGTAAATTCATGAAAACAAAAATTTGCTTTTTGGTCTTAATTCAAGGTTAGGACTAAGCATACGGTTAGCAGTGTGGTTAAGGTTAGGTTTAAAATCAGATTTTGAGAAGAAAATATGTAGAAATGGGCGGAGTTTAGGACTTTGTGGCTGTGTTAACTAGTCACAGCCCTCAGTCACATCTGAGCTGGTCAACTCCTCCCCTTTCCTCACTCCCTTGACCTCTGACCTACAACCACTCCCACCCCATTTTAAATCACACTGTTTAAGTGCTGCAGCACCTGATGTCTGGCTCCAAATTAGCATACGTGCTTGTGCACACAAACATGCACACACACGTGTGTGCGTACACACTCACAAACATACACACACCCATCACCAGCCTGTCAGCTTAGAAAGAAATTGAATTGTAATCTCCAGATGCCTCCTACAGATGTAGGATCTTAATTTGATCCCTCTTTTGTTCCTGCACAGCAGGAAATGCAAACTTGTTGTGCATTCAAGGTTTAAAATGTCTGACTTGATTAGCCCTAACGAAAAATGTATCTACCCCTACAAAAGTGTCTATTAATTATAATCCACATAATAATTCACATTTCCTGTTGCTTCAGGATTATTTTCCTGCTGTAGCAAACTGGCTCAAATTAAGAGCCTACACCTGTATCTGCTCCTCCATGTGGTTGAGAAGAACTAATGAAATGGAAACTTAATAACTGCATGACAACTTGAGCTCCAGTCTGAAAACGTAATTTATCTTGTAGAAGCATGATTAAGTATGATGTTATTGACTGTACAACGCTGTGAATCACATGTATAAAGAGTTTTATACTGCTATAAAATAGTTGTTTACTAGTTGTTTTGATGAGTTATCAAGCAACCGTAAACAAGTCACCCCAGGTCATGTCACCTTCATAATTTCTACTGCATGCATTTCTTCCCCCATAGCTGATGAAAATGTCCTTAGAGGTTTTTGTGGAAAAGTCTTTAAGTGGAAACAAAATCCTCCTAAAACAGAATGAAAACCCTTTTATATAACACATTTAGCCGATTACCCAGACAGACAGATCATTTCAGGGAGTTCTACTGTCTACCTTCCTCCTGATTGTTATCCCTCCATTTGCACTATTTCATTTTTGAACAAGGGATTCTCATTCTCATCATTCAGGGGGGTTTTCTGCTCTGTCATTGTGTGCAGGATATCCTCTCTCCTGAGGAATAGTGACTTCCTGTTTGTTTCCTGCCTTGTTTCCTCATCTCCCTTTCATGTCATAAAGAGGAATTACCAACAATGCATCAGTCCATGCTGCTTTGCTTGTTTTCTGGAGCGCTCCTTGTGTGTCTCGGTTGATGGATCTTTAAGGAGAAGGTAAACTGAGTTCCACCACACTGGTTGTAATTTGTTCTTCACCTCCATACGTCCAGGCATTGTCACATGGGGGATATGAAGAGACAGTGGGATCCCTGTGTGTCACACCCTGATCCATGTCCTCAGTTGCTCCTGTTGTTTGCTACAAAGATTCAGTTGTTCTTAGGGCTTCATGTCCACTTTGGCACAATAGGTTTCAAAGGTCCTGTATGGCTCAGTTGGTAGAGCATGGCGCTTGCAAGCTAGGATTGTCGGTTTGATTGCTGGGACCACCCATACGTAAAGATGTATGCACGCATGACTGTAAATCACTTTTGGATATTATATTACCATAATGAGCGATATTATTCAATATTAATGTTTCTCTATTGATGTTATTAACTGCCTGGATACTTCCTGGTTCAAGGATTGGTTGCCGTGGCACCATGGGACCTAGGTCTGAGCCCGTCCTGTGGTGCTGTGCCAGGTGATGATGACGCAGGTAGGTAGGCACCCGCTAGGCTGGCAGAGAGAAAGTGGCATCACTCTCGCTGTGTAATCCACTGGCCACTGTAAGCCTATGACCTTAGTAGCACTCTGGTGACTGGACAGTGGACACACACTCACAGTGTAGATGAGATGTGTTATGTCCAATGTATTGCTTGAGTCTATAACCTTCAAAGAGCACTGACTTATGCCAATGAGGGAATAGTATTCTTGAAGAAAAATAAGTAGGAGTGCTTCAGGTATTCCAAAACAACCACAGGTGCTCATGGAGGGTAATAGTAATTGAAAAGCTAAAGGAAGAATTATAACCATAAATAGGTGCTAAATTACATATCAAAATCCAAGCACTCATGTTGGTTTGAAAGTTAATACGCCTTTAATGTGTGGGCTAAGACATCATTAAAATACACCAACGAGGCGCATCGGCTTACACTTATTTGTGTAGTTCAGTCCTTGAGCTGTTCTTGTCTATTCGTGTTCTGTATTGTTTTGTGTGGACCCCAGGAAGAGTAGCTGCTGCTTCAGCAACAGCTAATAGGGATCCTAATAAAATACTATACTAAAAAATACTTAATCAGGGTGTCTCACTCCGTGTCAGACACCCTGATGAAGGCATAAGCCACTTCTTAACTTTCAAACCCACAAGAATGGCTGGATTTTTTAAGGCCATTAGCACCTATTTGTGGTTATAATTTTTCTTTTAGCTTTTCGAGGGAATAGTATTGCCTAATAAATACCTAAATGGCACATCAGAAATAATGAGACATAACAAATAAGTTCCAATTTGGGGGCCAAATTGCATCTTTCAGAAAATACATCACTTGCTGAATAATTGTACCGAGACTAGCGTTAGGACCCTGAGGGGAAGTAGCATTCCCTCCCTCCTTGTTGAATTGGATGACAGGACTCGGACGGCCTCTCCTGCAACAGTGTTGAACCGTTCGCTAGTCAGAGAAAGGATGTGAGAAGAGGAGGAGGCTTGCGGTTTCTGTAGCAAGCATGCGGTTTTGTTAGATTCTGTGGATTTTGGACAACGGTTTTACATGCAATGTATTTGTGCTAAATGGAATTCGTTTTTCCCTTTTGTGTTTTCCTCCGGATACATTGATATAGCTTGGAATCGTGTGTTTTCCTGTGCGGCTCAGTTCATTGGTAAACTAGCGGTTGCTACAGTCGACAGTCAATCAAGTCTGGGCTCTCTGGTATTAATTTAAATGTGCCGGTGAATTTTTGTGGACATCTGAATTGGTTTTGGAACAATCATTTTCGTTTAGCCTTTGGTATTTCAATAACCGAGAGTTTATTGTGCAGCCTTATTGACAAGGTAAGATTGTAACCGTTACTCAGGCTACTGTACCCCTATATTGATAGCCGACTGTATCCCCAAAAATTGCAACATTGTATCTTGACTGCGCAATGAGAAACTAGGCTACACGTGCACTGTCCTCTCGATTACTGTATCAGTGATTGCCAAAGCGTTGTTTGACAGCTGTCATTGGAATTGCGCTGGACAATAGGGCTTGCCTGTAGGAGCCATTTGCTATTGTTTTCTTCTGTGGATAGATCAAAACATAAACAGATCGAACATGTCGCTCAGCAGAAGTATTGAATGGGAACACTTTGAGGAACGGGACAAAACGCACCGTTCATCACGGGCTAACGGCTCGGGATCCCAGTCCGGCTCCAGAGGCAACGGTCTCGTGCCCAGCCCGGCGCACAGCGCGCACTGTAGCTTTTACCGAACGCGCACGCTCCAGTCGCTCACCTCGGAGAAGAAAGCCAAAAAAGTGCGGTTCTACCGAAATGGTGACAAATACTTCAAGGGTTTGGTGTATGCCGTGTCCAACGATCGTTTTAGGTCCTTAGACGCCCTGCTTATGGAGCTTACCCGGTCTCTCTCGGACAACGTCAACCTGCCACAAGGTGTCCGGAGCATCTACACCGTGGACGGCAGCAAGAAGATCAGCAGCCTGGACGAGTTAGTGGAGGGTAAGGACACACAGTCACCCCCGGCCCCCTCCCCACACACACAGCCCAGTCCTACAAATGACATAATAAATCATGTAGAGATCAATACTCGCGCATATTGATGAATGAGCTGATTGATCCAAAGTACTCATTATTAGATTTGACCAGACAGACTCGTATCTCTCAGGTTTCAGCAAACCATCACCTAAACCATTTGGCGTCCTGCTTGTCATCAGAGTTCCCCCAGCTGTTTGACATTGACTCCTTGTTCATAAATATGCAGGTGTATTCGGCTATCAGCTTTCCCCTTGGGAAGAATACTAGCTAATACTGCATTATAGGCTTATTATACTACATTATAGCCTCATTATACTACATTATAGCCTATTATACTACATGATATGATATAATGTAGTATAATAAGGCAATAATGTAGTATAATAAGGTTATAATGTAGTATAATGAGGCTATAATGTAGTATAATGAGGTTATAAAGTGGTATAATGAGGCTATTATGTTGTATAAGAAAGCAATTATTAATAGCCTCATACTACATTATAGCCTCATTATACTACATTATAGCCTCATTATACTACATTATAGCATTATTAAACTACATTATAGCCTCATTATACTACATTATAATCTCATTATATTACATTATAGCCTCATTATACTACATTTATGTTCATTGGTTAGAGAGGCGAGCCAGCAACCAGAGGGTTGCCAGTTCAAATCCCGGGTCCAACAGGAAAAATCTGTTGTGAAGTGAGCTGGCAACCGGAGGATTGCTGGTATCAAATCCTAGATGCAACTGCCTGCCATGGTGCCCTTGAGCAAGGCACTTAACCCACTTAACACTTAACCCCCCCCCCCCCCCCGCACCTCTCCAAAACCTGTATGTGTGTGTGAGTGTGAGAACCACATAGATGACAGACCCGCTATAGCAGTACTAGGCAGCACAGTTTGCATTAATGTACATCGATCCTCCATTGATCTTAGAGCAGTGTGTGTGTTAGTGCGAGCTCTGGCCAGTGTTCTGTGCTTCATTGGCTGTTAAAATGGTCCTTAGAGTGATTTTTCACCCTCTGGGCATACAACATGGAAGTGTCCCCCTCTACACCCACCTCATCCCCCTGTCGATGGGAGAATGGAAAATGTCAACATTGAGGTATAGAGGAAGCTGTTATTACAACGGTACTAATAGTACAAATAAGATATGTACAACTACCTTCAAAGAACTGAACAACATGGTCAGGTCATACCGTTGTTATATATCCACATGAGTTATTAGCTCAGTCATTTCACAGGAATGCTTAATAAAGCATCATGTATATTGGCCTGGCTAGACCCCACACATCTAAAGTCAAATGAATTCAGTACGTTTGAAGTGTGTGAGTATTATTCCAGAAAATGAGTATGCAAAGGTTGAGAAATGTGAACATTACCTTCTTTCCTTTACAGTAGATCTCTCTCCCTACTTGGTAGATTTGCTATGTATAGACCTACACCGCAATGGGGGCTGGTGGGAGGAGCTATAGGAGGACAGGCTCATTGTAATGGCTGGACTGGACTCAATGGAACGATATCAAACGTATGAAAACCACATGTTTGACTCCGTTCCATTAATTCCATTCCAGCCATTACAATGAGCCTGTCCTCCTATAGCTCCTCCCACCAGCCTCCACTGCTACACAGTGGTTCTGTCTGTGTGTGAGCAACTCTCTTCTCTGTGTCGCAGGCTGCAGCAGTGACAGTGGCCGGTGGTGTCTGGGTAATACAATAATCTTTGTGTTGAGTCCTGCAGTCTGCTGTCTGATCTGTGACCTCTCTACAATCCTCTCTTAGCATGAAAGGTTACGGTTGTTGCACCAGCCCATGGTAGCGCTGTCATATTCAAATCAATCCACAGCTAGGAGAGATGAGTGTGGGACTTTCCTTTTCCTTTGTATAGCTTATCTCCTGACTCCCGTTAGTTTTACTCCAGTGCTGTCCTTTTCACCTGCCCCTCTCTCCTCTCTCATCCCCCTGTTTATTCTCAGCTGACATCTTTCCTTCCTCCTTCCAAATATAAGCCTCTGCACTCGTTCCACTTGTTCCTCCCCCCATGTCCCCAGAGAGGATGGGGTGGTAGATTTAGGTCAGCGCCCAATCCCGTGGCTGAGAGACACATTGCATCACTTCTGGTTGGACTGTCAGGAAGGACAATGGGTGCGTGCTGTGGTACAGTGAGTGGTGTAGAAGATGGTGCCAGTCCTATTACTTCAGCCTCACCTCTGGATGTAATGCCTGTTTTCTGCCAAGTAAACTTTCAGAGTGGAATCTGGAATCCTCCAGGCAGGCATCACACTTTCTCTGCTCTGATTTGGCAGGAAAGTGGGCCAACTCACTTTCTCTGGCTGTGAAAACTTGTTGTTGTTCTCATCTTAAGGTTATTTGGGTTTATACTGCAGTAGGTACAGTGGCCTGTGAGTTCATACTGTAGGTACAGTGGCTAATGAAGAGTTCTGTATAGTTTTTACCTTTTCAATTACTCTACCAAAGGCTTATAATAGGAGTAGAGTTTGAGCTCTTAAGCCAATCCTATTGGACATTTGATATGGTGCCAAGTTTATTTTGGAACCTCTCTATCCATTCCATTCTTTCTACTGTACAATGACTGGACTCCAAACTCCTTCCATAAACAGTACACAGATTGGGTTCCACTCAAGAAGTCCCCTCTTTACTGTAGAGACTCCATTGGTCGGGATAATGGTGTGAAGGAGTCCTAATTATCGTAGCCCTGAACTCTGCCTCCTCAGTAACTTGTTTTGTCAGTGGGCTGCGGCTGTCCTCTCAGTGGCTGTCCCCTCAGTGGCTGTCCCCTCGGTGGCTGTCCCCTCGGTGGCTGTCCCCTCGGTGGCTGTCCCCTCGGTGGCTGTCCCCTCGGTGGCTGTCCTCTCAGTGGCTGTCCCCTCGGTGGCTGTCCCCTCGGTGGCTGTCCCCTCGGTGGCTGTCCTCTCAGTGGCTGTCCTCTCAGTGGCTGTCCTCTCAGTGGCTGTCCCCTCGGTGGCTGTCCTCTCGGTGGCTGTCCCCTCGGTGGCTGTCCTCTCAGTGGCTGTCCTCTCAGTGGCTGTCCCCTCGGTGGCTGTCCCCTCAGTGGCTGTCCCCTCAGTGGCTGTCCCCTCGGTGGCTGTCCCCTCGGTGGCTTTCCCCTCGGTGGCTGTCCCCTCGGTGGCTGTCCTCTCAGTGGCTGTCCCCTCGGTGGCTGTCCCCTCGTCCCCCTGCTGTGATGTGGAGAAATAGGGCACGGCTGTTGTCCAGGGGTCAGGTCTCATGGACGTGGTGCTATGCTATCACAGAGACAGTCCAAACACAGGAGGAATGCAGTCAATCCGTCAGAGGAGCGTCTTGGCCTGGCTGTGAACGAGGCCCTTTGGCTGGAGATGCTGGAGGCCAAACACCAGAATCTTGTCTTTGTGTACTCAGCCATCAAATGGATTAGGGGTGTGTGTGTGTGTGTGTGTGTGTGTGCGCGCGCTCCCAGACCCATTGATTGAGGACTGCTGGCCCAGCCTAGCCTGTTGTGTGAACCCCATCAAGCCCCATTCATTAATTCATTAATTCATTCACATGTGATCCCTGGGCGATGGCTGGATGGATGGGATTACACTGTGACATCCACCACACTGTCTCTGCTGTAGTGTGCTTATGGAAATGACAGTGAGGCATTGGATTGGATCCAAACCAAGCCAAACCACGATAGTGGTCTTATGCTACACCTATTGTGTGCCATTTGAGGAGGACTTTCAATGCATTATGATGCACCTGTCGTTTGATACGATCCAATGTATGTAATAAGCTGATTGATTCAACATCAGTCTTCACTCAGGGGAAAACATTGCTTGTTTAGATGTCACCATAGTGTTAAGGACTACATCAGACAAACACATTCTCAATCCATGACCTCTCACTTACCCCACTGAGTGATGACATCTGTGTGTATTTGCTCAGTGACGGATCAGCACACACACTGATGGATCCGCCCCCTCTCCTCCATAGCGACCAGCTGATGTTTGGTTAGGGAGCTGTTTAAGGGGCTGTGGTCTCAGCTGTGCTCCACGTGAGGCCCCCGCTGTAGGGCCACTGAAGGGTATCACCCATCCAGGATCCCCTAACCTCTCTGGTGATGCCGCACTTTACACCCCCCTCTCGTCCCCTGGGGTATTCCTGTCACCGACGGTCCATGATACTGTGTGTGTGTGTGTGTGTGTGTGTGTGTGTGTGCTGAGACCCCTCATCTCATCCCCTCGTCACTGTCACCCCTGAGCCCCCTTCAGAAGGCCACTTCTGTTTCTCCAGGCTTTCTGATCTGAATTGATGATGGCTCCTCGTCTGATCTGGTGTTACCGTTTTCATCTGTTCGGGTCCCCCAGCTGTGGCCTAGCGTCGTTAATTAGCCTTTGGTTAATTGGTAGATGAATAAATCCAGGCGTCTTGGGACTCGCCGTCTCAGAAGTCTCTCTCTTCCTTCAGTCCTCTTCCTCCTCCTTTCCGTCCCTTTTTCTTTGTCTTAAAGCAGATGAGAGGAACCATGAGGCAGTAGATAATACTGTGATGTAGTTGAGAAGATAACAGATTGATATTTTGGTATAAACCAAAATCCTGGTTTAGGTTGATCTCAGCACCATGGACAGCACACAATGTTACTACAGGAAGTAGTAGTAGTAGTAAGCTTATGACAAAAGGATCTTAATATTTTTCAGTCGTGGCTCTTGAAAATAATGCTGGGTATTGTACTCAAGCTATTCTGGTGGGTTAGCCATCGTCTTCACACCACTCTCGCAAATGATTCCGTTCACCTTTCCCTGAGGGATGACACCTTTCTTTAAGCACTGTCTCCACTGTCATTAGGTGACTCATTCACTGTTGTCTTCCTGTTTCTGTTCCTGGATGACTGACTGCTGAGAACAGGATGTTTTGGTTACTCACATAACAAGAGCAGGGTTGACTGGAACAAAACTCAAACCTTAACCTTTGCTTCCATAAGCTTTCCTTACGGTTCTAGATGGATAGATTCTGTTGAGTCATTGTTCGTTCCCCTTCAGATCCTTCAGATTCCCCTCTCCCTCTCTTACACACAATAACAATGTTTTCTCGCCTTTCTTAGTTCATTCAGCATTATTTAGCATCACCCTTCTTTGAACATCTCTCTCTTTCTATCTCTTACATATAATAACAATGTTTTCTCACCTTTCCCAGTTCAGTCATGTTGTCATCGATCGGTGCCTTGAGCTTAAACTGGTAAAAGGCCAGATACGCAAGTATAGCGCTATGCAAGGACAACAAAGGCAGCAATATGGGTTCACTTAGTTGCATGCATAGCATATTCCATGCTACTACAGTATGCCATTCTGTGGTTTCACTAGTCTTGTGACAAACCGTAAAATCCATGATGAAAAGATTAGAGGTTAGCAATGTCTCCCTCTCCTAGTTTGACTCAGTGGCCCAGAATGTAAAAAATAAATTCCTACATATGTTGTCCTCCAACAAACAGCCTCCAAACACCATCACCCACCCTCCTCTTACCCTTATTGTGGTTCCATTTACCAGCAAAGCCTTTTGAGTCGTCAAATGAATCTGGTCTTGAGGGGAAACGCTCACACACACACACACACACGCTAACTGCTACAATGGAATGCCCGGCGAGGAAAAGGAAAATACTTAGCTTTGGAGAGTGTCCAACGCGGCAGGCCGAGAGAGCTCGCAGAGAAACAGAGAAGGCTGGGTTACACTGACTGGCTGGCCTCAGTCTCAATGTGGCTTTTGTTTCCACTGGGGAACCTTAACTCTTTGTCATCCACAGTCGAGCCGACTGGAGTTACTCTCCGAGACGTGGCTAATTATCACTCATTTAGTCAACTGGAATTAATGGTTATCCATTGACGGTTGTAAGGTGGCATTCAGAGCTGGAAAATGCGATGGAGTTTATTTACTGTAGCTTCAATAACTAAATTGCTGGATCTGATGGTACCTTTTTATGAAATGTTGATTCCACGATTTTTATGAAAGGTATTTAAAAAAGAAGCCTATATTCTAAGTAGCTCTCCCCTCTTCCTCCCTTTAGGTGAGAGCTACGTTTGTGCCTCTAACGAGCCCTACCGCCGGGTGGACTACACCAAGAACGTTAACCCCAACTGGTCAGTGGGCATCAAGGCAGGCCAGTCCCGCTCCCTGTCCTCCCTCAGCACCCTGGTAAAGGGCGAGCTGCAGCGTAGCGAGGCCAGCCTCGGCACCAGAGACTTCATCAAGCCCAAGCTGGTCACAGTCATCCGCAGCGGGGTCAAGCCCAGGAAGGCAGTGAGGATCCTGCTGAATAAGAAGACGGCCCACTCCTTCGAACAGGTGCTGACCGACATCACAGACGCCATCAAGCTGGACTCCGGGGCAGTCAAACGGCTCTACACACTGGAGGGAAAACAGGTAAGATGATAATAACTCTGTAAATGCAATGACATGGTTACTTACTATAGCACAGGGTCTCAACTCCAATCCTGAGGTATATGATATGGTTATTTAGCCATTTATTTCTCAAAAATGGTATTACAGACAGTTGTGTTCAGCATATGTTTCCCATTTAGGCATCAAAACCTCAACCTTGCTGTTGCAAGCATGAATAATGATACTTTAGGGACTGTCTATATTAGAGTATGTTGGGTTAAACCTAACGCTGCAAAGCTGCTCTGTGGATGGGAATGTAAATGCAAAACATGTGAGGTATCAGTACCAGATGCAGTGGCGACCCTTACCAGTTTTGAGCCCAACGTTTTTAGCTTGCCTGTTATGCATGTTATTCTGGCATTAATACGTGTCACATATCAGTTTGCAAACCATGAAAAAAAAAGAAGAAAATCATTGAGTTAATAAAGCCGCATATAAACATGGTCTCTTTTTTGCTTTATTGAGGAAGGCAGCTCCAAAACGCAGGTGTTTCAGCCTAGCTAAGTGCTTTCTGTGGTGGCGGGGCAGCCGTGATTGGCTCAGTGTTCTGTCACTCATGGGGACACTATGTCACCTCCAAGTCTAAGGGTAGAGCTTGAAAATTCAAGCCCCTTGGGTGTTGCCATAGAGTTACATTAGAAGTGCCCATCCAAGAAGGCTCAAGGGCATTGGCCACAGATAAAATGACGTCAAATCACGTTATATCTACAGTAGCTTTGATTGGACTGATCATGTCAACATCATACTGTCAAAATCTTAGCTAGCAGTCATCATCATGAATCAAGTCGACAATCTACTGGCAAATCCTTTTTAATCCTTGTCATATGAAGATAAATAATGAAGAGAAATTATAGATAAAACGTATCGGTGCTCATCGGCCATTGGACATAAACATTACACAACAAGTTGGAAATCGCAAATTCAACAATGAGTGGTTTGGAAGGAATCAGTGGCTAACTGCAAGCATTGCAATCACTAGCTAACTGCAATCACTAGCCTGCTATTCAGTGGAGTGGCTGTGTGGTCCCAAGTCTGGGATTAAGGGTCTCTCTTCCAAGCTTAAAATGATAAACATTCAACATTGGCCATGCTGTCAATGAAGCATGATTTGTGCCGCGCTCAAAACAACTTTTAACTTGGAACTACGAAATCTGACTTCAATTAGTTCAAGACAACTGGGAACTCGGGAAAAACAAGCTCAGACTGGGAAAATACGTTTTGAACGGTCATCCAACTCGGAATTGTAAATCCGGAACTCGGCCTCTCTCTAGAGCTACGACCTGAAGATCACTGACGTCATCATGATTCAACCTTGTTTTTTCCGAGTTCCCAGTTGTCTTGAAAGCACCATAAATCCAGAGAATGCCAGACTTTGATGACAAAGTTTGATGACAGAATTTGCCCACGAAGGACCGCTGCGCCACCTTCCTGTTCAAGTGAGCACAGCACAACAAGGTGAGTCCAAAAATGTATTGTATGCTGGTGCATAAATGATGTAATATGCCAGGGAGATACAGTGGCTTGCGAACCTGGAATTAAAATGGATTTATGGGGGGTTTGTATCATTTGATTTACACAACATGCCTACCAATTTGAAGATGCAAAATATATTTTAAGAAAACTTGAGCATGCATAACTATTCACCCCCCAAAGTCAATACTTTGTAGAGCCACCTTTTGCAGCAATTACAGTTGCAAGTCTCTTGGGGTATGTCTCTATAAGCTTGGCACATCTAGCCACTGGGATTTTTGCCCATTCTTCAAGGCAAAACTGCTCCAGCTCCTTCAAGTTGGATGGGTTCCGCTGGTGTACAGCAATCTTGGATTGAGGTCTGGGCTTTGACTAGGCCATTCCAAGACATTTAAATGTTTCCCCTTAAACCACTCAAGTGTTGCTTTCGCAGTATGCTTAGGGTTATTGTCCTGCTGGAAGGTGAACCTCCGTCCCAGTCTCAAATCTCTGGAAGACTGAAACAGGTTTCCCTCAAGAATTTCCCTGTATTTAGCGCCATCCATCATTCCTTCAATTCTGACCAGTTTCCCAGTCCCTGCCGATGGAAAAACATCCCCACAGCATGATGCTGCCACCACCATGCTTCACTGTGGGGATGGTGTTCTCAGGGTGATGAGAGGTGTTGGGTTTGCGCCAGACATAGCATTTTCCTTGATGGCCAAAAAGCTCAATTTTAGTCTCATCTGACCAGAGTACCTTCTTCCATATGTTTGGGGAGTCTCCCACATGCCTTTTGGCGAACAGCTCTGTCCTGGCCACTCTTCCGTAAAGCCTAGCTCTGTGGAGTAGTATCTCCAACCCCATTCCTTCTAAACTCTCTGAATATAGACCTGGCAGAAAACACAGTTGACCCTTCTTTCCGGACAGATTCCCGGAGCCGGCGAGAATCTTCACGGACGGGCCAGAGAAGTGACTCATGAAAATAATGATCCCTATCCTCTCAGACAGTCAGGCCTGCTGGCCAGCCCAACATACTGAAGCCTCTACTCAGAGGAGGCTCTGTAACAGGAGGAGAGGCAGGGCCTGGATGTTCCTCTCTCTCTCTCTGACAGAGCAGACAGTTAATGTGTACAGTACAGTACACTTGCAGTATCCGCCCCTATTTGCTTTTGTTTGTGTCAATGAACCAGTCTTGCAGCACAGACTGAAATAAACGGCAGTATTGGACCAGAAATGGCTGACCAAGCTTGATTTTCAGCCCAGAGAGAGCATGTTTTAGGTACATTATCAGTGATTCACCATTTCAGTCCAATTCTGGCCGCATATTAATCAGCCATCCACAGATAGAACGACAGAGAGATAGAACGAGAGAGTGATGGAGTAAAAAGCGATGACTGAAAAGATCAGCCATCGTCTCTGTTGAGTCGATGGTCTCCCTTACTCCCTCTGGCACTCAACATCGCTGCTCTTTCAAACATTTCCAAGCATAGGCTACAGCATGATGGATATTTGGGAATGCCCCATTAGATATCCACCCCGTTATTAATTCTGTCCCATGTCTGTGACAGAAAGAGTACTGACTCTCTGTCTGTCTCTATCCCCTCACGGTTCACTTAAACAGATTGACTGTGCTGTGGGCTGGGACTTTATCATAAATGATGCTGCAATACAGCTGCAAGTTGACTGAGGGGTTTTCTCCATTTATCCGTCAACATTCAGTGTTGTCGGCACTAGACAGAGAGAGAGGAGGAATCCTGTTTGGTGTAGAGATGAAGCAGAGAGAGAAGGTGTGAGAGAAAGAGAGGGAGTGCCCTTCCTGCTCTGTCCTTGGGGACTGCTTAAGGCAGGCGACTCACCAGGGCTGTTTGGAATGCAATGCGGCGGGAGGGTTGACTGTGACGCGCACTGATGATGTCACAGGGGATTTGCCTGTAGAAGCTGGTGGTAAATCCAAACGAGAGCTGTAGGGCTGTCTGGAACGCAGACTGACTGTCCCTGGAATTTCATAGGGAAACCTCCTCTTTCCAAACCCCCTGTTTAAAAAAAATGAGCTGCCAGGCATATGAGCTGCCAGGCATATGCAAATGACAAGATTATGGTAATGCATGAATGAAAAGGCTTGGCTCCAACAATACCGTTGTTCTTGCTCACAGAGAATGTTAAGTGTTTTTGTCTGTAGCTTTCAGTTAGGTTACAGTCAGTTCTATAGCATTTTGTTATTATGCTGCTTTCAATTTGTTATGGCAGCGCTCCATTTGAAACTATGGGTTACTGCATATACTTATAGACTGGTTAGCTGACAACATCACAAATGATGCACATACTTCAATGGGGCAGAAGTCCGTGTGTTGTCCAGATAGCTAGCAACAATAACAAGAACCTGCCATGTGGGGAATCATAAGTGGCTAATTTCAGCTAGTTTTATCTTGTTCTTGATACCATGTCTTGTTTTGGCTGATGTCACCTCTAGCTAACCAACAACTGTAACGATGTATTTCAGAGACAAGTGCTCATTGTGCACATTTATTTTTTCAATAAACATTGGAGACTAAATATAGTTTACATGTCAACAGTCTAAGCCAACACCGTCTGTTTTGCCCCGGAGTTGCGCAAGCGTCGGTTTTGTTGCTAAACAACCAACCTGTCTGTAACCATGACAACGATAGAAGAGTTGGCTACTGCACATACAGTATGGGACCCAGGCTAGCTCAAAGGACAGTACACAACCCTAACAGCAGGCCAGGCCTGTGGAGCTCTGAGGGATGGCTCATGTGCTTGAACACCATTTAAAATACCTGGCAGCCAATGACACTACAGCCATATCACCAACATGTATTGCATAATGAATGGAGCTTACAGTAACTCCTACCATCGTTGAGGGATAGGATGCAGACTCATCATTTAGAGTTTTAGCAGATCCATATTTCAGACGTAAGATGCTGTCATTTCTTGTTGTTGTTCATTATAAATAGATAAGACCCATATTGTTGCACTCTCTCTGAGCTGTTTTGATGAGTTTGAGATGTTAACACACAGAGCATGGGTTGTTAATGATAAGGTCATTCTCCATTAGTTACTCAGACCATCTACTGTATGTTCACCTCCTGAGACGGATCGATCTTGTCCTGCTTCCTGTCACATGCTCCAGTAATGATCCACTCCATCAGTTGATTTATATCACCATATTAACAGCCCTTTCAGTCCTGATAGAGGCCTGGTTGTGAATCCTCTGTTGCATGTTACAGCATATACCAGGACACCACATCCTACACGACTCCATCGAATGGGAACTCCAATAGAGCAGTTTTCTGTCATTGAGGAGGATCGATGGGGACTGTTTAAAAGCAGATTATCCCTGGAGGTTAATGGGGATGCATTCATGGCCCTATAGTTGAGTAACCGTGTCCTTTTGAGTCATTGAGGCGGATCCTAGGAAAGGCCTTCTATGTGTGTATCACAGGAGGTTGGTGGCACCTTAATTGGGGAGGACGGGTTTCGTGGTAATGGCTGGAGCGAAATAGGTGGAATGGTATCAAACGCATGGTTTCCATGGTTTCCATATGTTTGATGCCATTCCATTCGCTCCATTCCAGCCATTATCATTAGCCGTCCTCCCCTCAACAGCCTCCACTGGTGTGTATCTAATCGGAGCTGGGAGCAAAACAGGATGTACACTCTCATGATGCTGTGTCATTCAAAACATGCATTCAAAATGGAGGTCAATGTAAGGGCATTATGGCTGTAAAAATTATACATTTAATTTCTTGTTTAAAGGACATTCCCCAGCATGATCCCATACTTGTCCGTATAACCTTAAGTTTACAAGGGGACAGAAAGAAAAGTCATATAAATACTCAGACATTGACATTTGACAGCGATTGCACATGATGTTATTTGAAGTATCATATTTGCAATGCTCGGCTGAGAATTTCCACCCAACAGTTGTTGTCTCTGACCAGGCTGAGACCAAGAGTTAAATCAGTCCCTGCCACCTGCTCATGTGACCACCAGGCACCAGCCCCTCTCTGGCATGGGATTAGGGTATGGGATAGGGGAGGAGAGCATGGCAGATGTCCTCAACTCCCATTGGAGCAGACAGGAAACCGGCCAATGGCCTTGTCTCTCTCAGACCATACTGTGGCCTGCTGTCTACTGTAACTGTAGTCATGTCAACTCCTCTACATGTAAAACAATATCTCTGTACTGGTATGTACTGTATTCAACTTCTCTGGTAGTGTTCTGTAGTAGTATTCTGTGGTAGTGTTCTGTGGGTTTTTTACTGGGATGCATGTAGTACACATGGTGAGTGGGTTTTTATCTACAGTGTTTTCGGACAATAATAGTAACTCTGATTGGCTTCTAAAGGCTATCAAAATTAGATTAGTCAATTTAGAGATTTAACTGCGGAAGCCTGAAACCTGACCCTTAGAGAACAGAGTTGGACTATAATGGATCCACTTCAATGACCGCCATTCAGTCAATGGAATTTGATTTGAACATACTGTATGTGTCCAATTCGATTTTTGAATGAAAATTATTCAGGTAACTACAAATATTACTCTGGTTTTCTGGTCATATTTTTAAGTTCATGCAATTTTGTAAAGTCATCAAAAACTCTTGTGTCTGAATAAATAAGCAATGCTTATACCTAGGATTTCTGATGTTAAATCTTTAGCAGTTAAATGGTTAACTACATAATCCACGGCCTGTTGCTTTTCCACTGCTCCTTGTCCAATCTGCCTGCCTACCAAGTGAACTCTCTACATTAGACTTGTCTGGATAATCTGACAGTTGACTCGCTCTCTCTCTTTCCCTCTCTCTGACAGAGCCTCTCTCCTCCAGCTAAGCTGCTTTTCACGCTCTGAGACGCTCCCCGTGCTCATGTCTCTAGACGGGCGTGTCTCCTGTGATTCCCTCTCCAGCAGGCTCTGGAGGGGGTTGTCTGTGTGTGTCTGTCTGTGTGTCTCCCATGGCTGTAACATGATGTCACTCACTATTACGTCTGATTTGTCCTTTGAAGGGTGAGATGGCCTTGAGAAGAGCCATTTCAGTGTGTCCTTTTTATCTCTGTATTACAGTAAAGTGGATGCTTTTGTTATTAGAGAGAAGAAGGGATTCTCTTTTCTCCTCAAGTGTTGGCTTATCATTTCGAATGTTAGTTTTCCCCTCATATAATTACATTCAGTATATAATCCAAAACATTGGCTTCTAAGTCTTTAACGCTATCACACTGTTTTGGCTGTGTAAGAACTTCATAAATCCTTCAAATGAGAGCCTTTTACGGTTAGCATAGCCGCTAGCGTATTAGAACCCAAAGCCCCAGAGAGGGGTCTCAGAAAGCCCATCAAATGCCTCACCCTTGGGCTTAGCAGCCAGCGCTAACAAGCTACCAGCGCTAAGACATGAAGGACGGCCCCACGACTACACCCTAGCCCGGCCTGCCATCTGCTCCTCCTCCAAACAATCAAATCATTGGTCCCAGGCAATATCTGTGTCTGTAGGGGTCTGCTAACCAACACCCCACCCCCCAGATATCCTCCCCTAGCTCCCCTACCAGGGCCCTGATCATCACCGGATAATTAGACATATCATTTGAGGGAGTGTGTGTGTGCTCGCGTATGTGTGTGTAGGGGGTTAAAGTGCAGCTGTCAGGTGTGTGTGTGTACTCTCCATTTGTAAACACAATGCGCTCTCAGTCCAGCTCTCTCTTGCTAAGCCACTAGTCTGGATGAATGTTAATTGATATCCCTATATCAGGGCCAACTGAATCAGCTGCTGCTTTGAGAGAGAAACTTCTCTCTGTTTTACATCTCAAAGCCGTGTGGAGAAAGAAAGAATAGGAGTTCTATGGCAGGAAATGGGATTGAAGAAAGAGAACGTGCCAGCTGTCCTGTAAACATTGTAGAGTGAAATATTTTGTTTATTCACGCTTAATTTCACTGACATTTGGCTTCTGGAAGAACATAGATAGATAGATAGATGCTGTAGGAGCTACAGTATAGTGCAGTCCACTGCAGGTGCTGATTTGATCATCGACGTCCCCCCTTGTGGGATTGTAAGATAGCATGCATGTGTACACACACACACACCTTCTGGACAGCCAATGTATTTGACCTGGCTGCTGTAGCCATAGTAACTTCACAACCGTTTCACAGCGTATGAGCAGCACATGGTTCTATTATCCCTGCAGTCAGCTACCGTTGGTAATATCGCTGGCTATATTATTTACATTTACATTTTAGTCATTTAGCAGACGCTCTTATCCAGAGCGACTTACAGTTAGTGAGTGCATACATTTTTTCATACTGGCCCCCTGTGGGAATTATGGCCTCAGTGTATCATTATCACAGTGAATGGCTGCCAGTTGTACTATTATGATGGACCATTATGATGGACCTGACTACATCATCAGAATTTTATGAGCACAGATGAGGATCCGGCCAAGGCCAAGCGATGAGAGCACAGGAAGGGAGGGAAGGAAGGGGGGGGGGGATAAGGAGAGAGGGGGAGGGGGGAGGTAAAGAGTCTCTCCCCTACCCCCAACCTAGTCAGCCTGCAGCATCACCACTCCAGATCCACTCAGACCCTCTTTTCCACTTCCTATACATCTACTGAGTGTATAAAACATTAGGAACCCCTTCCTAATATTGAGTTGCACCCCCTTTTGCCCTCAGAACATCCTCAATTCGTCGGGGCATGGACTCTACAAGGTGTCGAAAACGTTCCACAGGGATGCTGGGCCATGTTGACTCCAATGCTTCCCACGGCTGTGTCAAGTTGGCTGGATGTCCTTTGGGTGGTGGACCATTCTTGATACACACGGGAAACTGTTATGCATGAAAAACCCAGCAGTGTTGCAGTTCTTGACACAAACCGGTGCGCCTGGCACCTAATACCATACCCCGTTCAAAGGCACTTAAATATTTTGTCTTGCCCATTCACGCTCTGAATGGCACACATACACAATCCATGTCTCAATTGTCTCAAGGCTTAAAAATCCTTCTTTAACCTGTCTCCTCCCCTTCTTCTACACTGATTGAAGTGGATTTAATAAGTAACATCAATAAGGGATCATAGCTTTCACCTGGATTCACCTTAGGTCAGCCATAGTAGTACGGCGCAAATTGGGGTTAAGTGCCTTACTCAAGAGCACGTCGACATATACCTCCCCCTCCTGTGGCTTATCTTGTTCCTCCTTCTCCTCCTCCACTTCTCCCATCTCCTCCCCCTCTTTTAAGGTTCCCCACTGAGCAAAGCAACCGACAGCCAATTCAGTTCTACCAAGATTTGAGAATTCCATTTCCCACTTTCCCCCCTCAGAATTAACCTTTACCCTTAAATAAATGTAATAATGTAAATACATGTTAGGCCTGGGAATATGATGAGTATGATCAATCTGTGGATGATATAGACAGTGATTACATATTAGATAAATACATGGAGGATAGGGAGGTCATCTCCACAGAAGGTGACCTTTAGGCCCCAATCTCCCCATGTGCTGGTTTGCTCGTTTAGAGCAAGCCTTTTCATTCCCCTTATCCTTACAGTAAGTGGAACTGAAGGGAATACAACATGCACACTGTGTGTGTGTGTGTGTGTGTGTGTGTGTGTGTGTGTGTGTGTGTGTGTGTGTGTGCACCCGTGCACCCGTGCGTGACACAGACACATCCAGCTAGCCTACGTGGAGCTCTTATAAAGAGGTAGACATTTTTGTTTTCTCAGGGGAAATCTTCTAAGTGGGAATAGAGAGAAAATCCCAACAGCGTTTCAAAATGATGCAAGGTATGATAGCGCACCAATACAGTCTACTGTAGCAGGTAATAGTTTTCCCCCTGGGAGAAGCAGAGTGGGAATGGAACTATCATATAGTCTGTAAAAGATGGCTGGTTTCCATGGCTCGTATGTTTCCCATTCCTTTCATTCAATTAGTCATATCCACTATTCCACTTTGACTAAAGACAGGCTAAGGTTGCACTCCGTGACTTTGATCTACAGTCATTCCAAACAAATAATAATTTGTTTCATTGTAAATGGTCTACTGTCAGTTGCCATAGTTGTGTGTGTATTCCATTGAAGCCTCTGTGTTTTCTGAATGCATTGGTAATCAGTGTCCTTAGGCCATGGTTTCTTTGTCATTGGAGAAGGCTTTCCTCCTCACCCCTCTTGACCCCTCCTCACCCCTCCTCACCTTCTTCACCCCTCCTCACCTTCTTCACCCCTCCTCACCCCTCCTCACCTTCTTCACCCCTCCTCACCTTCTTCACCCCTCCTCACCCCACACCCTCGGATGTCAATGGTAGCCCATAGTAACCTGCCTGTCTCTCCTCATCTATTTTGTGACGTTTCTGTTCATTTTGGACTTCGTTGGCCAACGTCTACACCCCTTCGTCGTGATTGGTCAACAGTATGGATTTTTCAATAAAGTCTTTGTTGTCATTTAACGAGAGATGAGTCATTTTCATGCACATTCTTTCATTGAGAAACGCGACTAAGATCTCCTCGGCAAAAAGTCTAAATGAATGACAGATTTCTTGCGTTATCTTAGATTAATTCTGATTTTTGAGGAAGTGTATACCGGCTACGGCGTTTTAAAATGGACGAACAGTACTATTTTTCTTGTTTTTCAAGGGAGTATGCGAGCACACTCGTTCGGTTCGCCTATCCGAGTTGGGCTAGGCGCCAGCCGAACTGAAGCATGCTGACGCCTTGACATAGACTGTGCAGATGTATATGTAGCTCTTTGCAATCCACATTGTAAACTCATTCTCCAAACATCCTCTGCCTATATGTCAGGGAAAATTGTAAAAAGAAAGCAATCGAAATGCCACGGTCTTTCACGATCCAACTATTTCAGTGTGTGTTGTCATCAGGATGACATTTCGTTCATTATCCTGAGGGGAACGGTACACAGGCCTGCCCTGTTAGGACTGCTGAGAGGATTAGGCTGAAATGGCCTGCCCGCTCAACCCTTTAACCAGGCCTAGTGAATAGAGATGGAATACCTACAGAATCCATTAGGAAGGGGACTAGATATAGGAGCCATTATGAAGGGGACTAGATACAGGAGCCATTATGAAGGGGACTAGATACAAGCGCCATTATGAAGGGGACTAGATACAGGAGCCATTATGAAGGGGACTAGATACAAGAGCCATTATGAAGGGGACTAGGAGCCGAACCATTATCATGGGGCAGGAAGGAAGGAAGTCCTGACTGAATGATAGTTAATTAGATCAACGTTGTGCGTATTTCATTTTTGAGATGGATGGACATCTCTCTGGGAACATAATGTAGGATAGCTGGGCCCGGGATGCTAGTCCTACGGTTTTATGTTTACATGTATGTAGGCCTAGCTGCATAGTAAACAGTTGTGTTGATGTCATTGATAATGTATTCAAAACATGGCATCAGGTATACTGAAGAGTAGAGCTCCACTTTCCAAATGAATCCGAATTACCTTTATTTGCCAAATACATTTACACAGAAGGAATTTGCCTTAGTGAGAAGGTGCTGCCAGCAGTAGACCGTATCCAAACAGAATACAGTCCACATAGACATCATACAGAATATGCAATATGGGAACAGTAAACATCAAACTCTGAATATACATTTTACAGAGGGAATATATCTATATAAGCAGAGGGAAGGAGGCTGCCATGGCTAATATACAGAGTATATACAGTGCTGTGCAGAGGTGGACGTCCATAGTGCAAATGCAGTATAGTGCAGATTTGTATTAGAGGTTATTGATGAGTAGGTGCAGTAACCGGCTCAATGCAAAGTCACTTAATCCATATGAGCCCAATGGCCGGTTGATGAGGCCACTGTTGGAATGGCTACAGACTCCATATTTATCTCATTGGGTTGGGTCTCCTTCATTCATCCTCTATAGCTAATGAAATGGATGGGTCTGGTTACAGCACTTCCCACTGGGCAAAAACTGGTTGAATCAACATTGTTTCCAACCCCCAAATTAAATGTGATGATGTTGAATCAACATGGAAAACTGATTGGATTTGAAAAAAGTAATCAACGTAAGGGAATTTCATATTTCTTTCACCCATTTTTAACCTAAATCCAATGACATGGTGACATTTTTTTGTGGATTTCACGTTGAATTCACTTTAATTGACAACGTACCAGCGTACCAGTCTAGACGGAAAGAGGCAAAAATGTATGTGTGTGTGTTTGCATGTGCGTGTTCAGATAGCATGGGGAAAGCTGTTTTTGAGTGCCCTTCGGCGGGCATGGATTAGTAAGAATGAAAAGGCTGAATCACTTTCAGCCTGTTGGTGCAAACCATCACAAAGCCCCCACGTGGAGCTGATCCGAGATCAGACAATGGGGCCCCTCGCGGAGCTATGGATCCCCACGCGGAGCTGCATGCCTTAGGGAGTAGGGCTGTGGTCCTCTGCGTGGAGCTGCACCGTCCGTGATACAGCATGGCATCACCTCACATGATACGCTCTTAACCATGGTGACCTTATGACCTCAATACTGAGGGATGTTTTAGTGCAACAAAGATCTGTTTGGAAATCGCTCCGCCATTTCCTGGTTGCTAAAATTCTAATAGTTCGCCTAATTTCAGTTTATGTGACAAAACAAGCAAGTATAGTGTAGAGAATCATTGTACCATCTAAACCACTGTGAAATATATTTTCCATAACTAAAAATATTGTATTTTCAGCTTTTTTAAGCTGGTGTACAAAACCGAAAGTAAAAGACGCAAAAATTAAACTTATGAACGGGAAGCAAATAACAGATCTACCGCTTCTTAGACTTGCTTTCAATGACAATGACAGATCTATAACACACATTTCTATGTGAATTTGAGTGGGGAAAAAAGTTACATATTGCAGCGTTAACTGGAAGATACTGTACTGTTCATCAAATTATTGTAAGATGATGTTTAGATAAAGATAAAAATAGAGGTTATTAGAAAGCATGGCCTCGGACTTGGAGTGGATCTTTCATACTGGAATTCATTGTCCATTTCTACACTTTCTAGTCGTCTGTTTAATTGGTATTGATGAGGATGACGTCTTGTCGTTTCTGATGTTTCTTCTTGCCGTTGGTGGAGATGGTGTTTGATGTTAGATAGGGATTAGTTGAGGGGAACCCCCCTTCACCCCTCCCCTTGTCGCTAGAGGGTACAGACACACACACACACCCCTGTTTGTTAGGCAGTTGTTTTTAGGACAGAGTGTGGATTAGAGAGCAGAGCACCATTTAGATCAACAGCCATCTAGGAATGTGTATTTGACAATAAAACATCATTTTTTTCTGTACTCATTAGTATACAGCACCATCTGACAAACAGTGGGTTAAATATTCCCACCTTCAATATTGTAGAAGTGAAATGCACCATAGATACAGTACAGCATGCCACCATGATACCCATATTCAATTGGGTGGTGAGTTTATGATAATTCTGGAGAGTGAATGATAGGAAATGGA